ACCGCCTGTTAGTTGGTAATGCCACACAAACTTTCCCTTCACATAACCTATATATATTAGTCTGATAGCGTCGAAATACAGTCTGCCGCCCTCACTCTGTTCTATTGTTTTACATCTTTTAAGAATGACGAGATAAAAGAGCTACAAAATTCATTCTTTTTGACCATGTTGACGTGATCAAAATGAAAAATAAAGCGTCTTCAAGAGAATTGATTTAGCTATAACTTACTCACAGGTGGGAGACAATCAATCAAGAATATGCGAGACACGTTCAAACGAGTATAAACATAATGGCATCATAAATACAAATTCAGTTTTTTAATTCAAATGGCAATATGATGACATCACAATGTCCGATCAGCCATTATGAAGTAAAAAATCGTATCTACAACTCATGTGCTTTCAGATTATGTAATAAAAAGTCACCTTTCATCCTAAGGAGCTATAACTGATTAAAAATATTCATGGTTATATGCATATATAAATGTTGACGCACGCGTACGTGCACGCTAAAAAACGCGAACGGAAAATTCAGGTAAGTTTATGCTCACTTAATATGATTTAGAAATGACGAATGGTTAAGATTATATGGGGTCATCAACGTTTTGAAGAAAGAGAAATGAGGGGTCATAAAAAACAATTTTTTTGACCATGATGACGTCATCAAAATGTAAAAAGAGTATATATGAAAGAGAATTGTCTCAGCTATAACATACTCAAAGTTGGAAGATGATCGACCAAGGATAAGCGAAATACGCTCAAATGCGTATTTTCAAAAATGACGTCATGAATAAGAAAAAAAAGATGATGATGATCCTGACAATAACAAGAGGTGATCCGCTAGTGTAGCGGATCACCAATGATGATGATGATCCTTACAATAACAAGAGGTGATTCGCTAACGTTAGCAGGTCACCAATAATCGATGGTCCTGTTTACAGCAGGGTTATGTTTGGTCAGGGCATCTGTCAATTGACCTACACGGTGAAAAGATGTTTATTTTTATGTGGATTTTATTGCCAGTTTGGCTATCAGTGTCTCTACTCTGCTGGTAGTCATGATGGCAATGGGAATGACGAAACTATTCGCCATGATTCAGACATGGCAAACATTTTTTGAGCACTGATGAGTGTTTGTATTTGTATTTTTAGTTTAGTTTTGTACAGTGGTGCGCATCACATTGATAAAGCAGCCAAAGAAAAAGTCAAAAAAAAAAAAAGTAAAAGTACTATTTACAAGCAGCAAGATATCTTAACTTCAATAAAAAGTAGACAAAAAACTCATTAAAGACTGACAATTCATTTTCATTAAAGGTGATATATAAACACATATTTTTGTGGCTACTGAAAGTAGCTACTATGTCATCAAATGGTTTATTGAGGTAAGTGACTGTGAATCTCGGTACCAGTCGACACCTTTGATCACGAGCCGAAAACCAATCAACGCACATAATTAATCTAGCGAACATTTCCGATAAAATACGCAAGGTTACGAATGATAGCTGATTGCGTCGCTAGCAAAATTACTCGACACTTACAGTAATGCCATTTACCGTACCTTTAGCAAAACGAAGTAGAAATACAGAACCGTATCTCTAGCCACGGCGAATTTAATAATAAAGTAACTTATACAGTAGCACCACCAACAGCCTTAAAAACAAATTCCTAATTTTGATTCTATATTATTATTGTTTAATAATGGTTTTGTATGCTTAGTGTGGCTGTGGATCCATGATTGTTCCGTAACAAGTTTTAAGATTGTAGCAATGTACAGTAGTGGATGCTTTTGGTTTTATATCAGCTAGCCCCATGTTTTTTCTGTGCGATGCCAAACAAAATTAAGTTCTGTGTAGGTAGACCTAGATGTTTGATTTTCACTAAATTTGACAATTTTAGGCCTAGGTAGATACTGATTTCCATGTGTTACTATTAGATATAGTATTACAGTAGAAACCTTCATTTACGAACCCCGATTTAACGAATTCCTGATTTCACGAACGTAAAATAAATGTGATGTCGACATAAAAATTTAAGTGAAAGATAAAAAAAAAAAATCCGCTCGAATTGGATCCACAATCTAGGTATTTAAGAAGGTAAAAATGTCCGATTAAAACAAACTTGTGTAGGGCCTAGAGTGGGATCGGAATGCTTAGAAGCTGCCTACTGTATGCCTAGGCACCCTCAGACTTACTGTAGCTGCATAGGCCTAGCCTATGCCTAGTTTATGCCAGTGTAAGTAGTACCAGTGCAAATATATAGGAATTTGGGTCAACCCCGATTTTACGAATACCCGCATTTACAAACGGCTCTGGGCCCGTGCCGTACGTAAATGAGGGGTTCTACTGTATTAATTATTGTTATTGTTTTTTTTTTGACGTTTCATTCTGTGAGTTTTCGTTTTATACTAGTTTGCTGGTTTATCATTTGCCCGGCCGTGTAGCGATTATACTTGTACGTCGTTGACTCAGGCCCTTGCTAGGCCTAGGACCTAGCTAGTTTACTATACATAACCGAGCAGGCTAGCTAGAGCCTAGGCTTCATTACAAACTAATACTTTAGACCAGGATGTAGTACAGAATCTCGGAATATTCAGCACTCATACACAAACTACACAACATAATTTTCAGGTTATCTGGATGTTTAATAAATTGTTCTCGGACTGATTCACAGCCAACGCCAAAAAGTAGAGGAGAACCTATTCATGAGAAGACCAGGCCTAGCCTAGTTAGGCAGGCCTATACTACTGATGTGTAATATTATAAATAGGCTAGTGCTAGTTCTACCAGGGATTTATTGGTTCTACTACGGTCATTTCAGCAGCCTTGTTTATACATAAACGTTAACATGTTGTAGCTAGGTAGGTAGGACTATTCATAATAAAACTGTAGGGCCTAGGTAGGTAGAAATATCTGGCTAAACTTCGACCTATCTAGTGGTGTATCTAGGCTTAGTTAGGGCTTAGGCCTATGCCCTACTACTACTACATTCTACAGTTAAGTTAATAAAATGTCTAGCAAGTGGGGCTTGCAGCTGGACTTGTGACAGTTACGTATGATGAGGTCTAGTGTAATAAATATGCATTTTTCATCAATCATTATGCATGTTAAAAATTAAAGTTAATATTGGTAGTAATAAATATAAATAAATAATAAATATATGGCAATATTGTAAAAAGACGCAGCAAAAGATGATGAAATGGGTGATGGTAAATCTAATGGCAGTTGTAATGGTAGTAGTGATGATGACAATGGTAATAGTAAAGGTAGCAATTATAACTGCGATTGTAGTGGTAATCATAGTAGTGGTGACGGCGGCGGAGGGTGCTATTCGCATCTCAAGCATTGATCGGTCCATTGTGGATTGTCTATTCATCCGTCCATCCAACTGTCGGTCGGTCAGCCTCCATTAACTTTAATACGGTGTTCAGTTTTGATGCATCATTAGATTATTGCTATCCTGTACATCATCTTGGATCTAGAACTACAGCATTTAAAATCTAAGAATTAAAATACTCTGGCCACTTAAAGAGTTGTTATTTTTCAGTCATTTTTTTTTTTCAGTCGACAAAATACACTGACCTCAACCCTCTTGCATGTAAAAATCTTTTATTCATTTTTTAAAAACAATGTTATTTTTTTTAGCAAGCCAATAATCCAATCAGTCCTGCAGTGGGACTGTGGTTGGCATGATTTTGAGCTGCGGTGTGAATTCACATTTCCTTCATTTCATGTGTCAATTTCAGATGAGAGAGCTCTCAGTATATTTCCAACTTTCTTCTTTTTACGTTTGGCAATGAATCGGCCGGGAATGACTAGTCCTACTGCTCTTTTTCTTTTTCTGACAATTTGCACCTTTGGCAAATTCATCCAACTTTTCAAGAAACCCTGCAGAAATCCTGCTAAGCTCAATCAGCAGATAGCCAACAAGCATACCACCACCACCAATTTCATCTGCTGTTAATATGTAAATACCCACAGCATTCTTGTCTTGAGCCATGCTCTCTGGACAATATCTTTAATGCACAAAAATCATTTGTTTATTTTCGATTTCAGGTGTTCTTATATAATCGTTTTTCATTCAAAAAGCACCCCTTAAATTTTCCAAGTTCCCATTAAAGCACCCCTTAATTTTCATCTATTTCCAGCACCCCCTCAATTTGCACTCTGTTGACATAAGTACCTTTCAAAAAGTGCAAAAAAAATATTTTAAGCGCTCGGACGCTCATTTGCATGAGTACAGTGTTCTACATATTCTGTAGATAAAAACTAACATTATGAGCGAGTTCAGTGACATTTAGTGAGATTGATTACAGGTGTTTTTGATATTGATTGTGAATACACAATTTAAGCAATGAAAATTGCCATGTCATGATGCTTCAGCAATATCAACACCTCCTGTATAATTTAGTGATAATTTTAATGATGAAATTTTTTGTTTTCTTCTTTCACTAATAAAGTGACCAAAATTTGAAATATTGTAATGAACAAATGGTATTAGTGACATTTGATACAATTTGTGCTATCATTTTTTACAGAGTATAAGCCCAAATATTTAATTGTCAGAATATTGTGCTATGTCCACCCCTTGAATTTCATCAAATTTTGTAGCCAAGCCTCCTGGGCTTGTTGTACTTGCTCAAATACACAATTTTGTTAAAAGTAACATTAACATAGATGGTTAACTAATTATTAACTTGACGAGGAAACCCCTTATCTGGTGTCTTTTAGGATTTGATTGTGAAACTTGTAATGTATTAGTTGCATTGGAAGAGCAAGTAAAAGAGATTGCTGATGCTGTCCATGTTGACAAGAAAGATGAAGACATTGGTGCTGGTGATCAGGTAGGCCCAGTATTTTGGAAGGACAAACCCTTGTTTAGGTTAGTCTAGGTTTATACTATTGACATTTGTACTGTGTCCTGTTTGTTGAAGATTTCAGTTACAACTAATGACAGTAATAATAATTACTTGACAGATATCACAATGTATAGATTTATTGGGTGTGACTAAAAACACCATAAACAATCAGGACATAGTTCTGTATGCTTTGAAAATAGTTTGTTGTAGGCTAGGGTGTCATAGACCAGACTGGAACCGCTGCCACAACTCTGCGATGGCTCAGTGGCAAGAGCGCTTGCGAGACGTGCGAGAGGCCCTGGGTTCGATTCCCAGTCGTGGAGTAAAGTAAGTGCAGTAGGCCAGTCATTCTTTAGCTAGAGTCATAATACTATTAGTGGGTAGGAGGGAGTAATTGGTTAGCAGGAAGTTGGCTTTTCAAGTGTTGTGGAAGAAATATGCCTATAATTTTACCTGTTTTGTTCACTAGTTTCTATTATTATGCCACGTTCTCTTGCTGCTATTGCTATGCCAATCATATTGAAATTATGCATTGCCTAATTTCCTTCCCCCACTCCAAATGTTCATATTAAGTAAAGTTCTTTCTCAACCTACTTGTGACATACATTAGCTTTTAACGAACACCACTGCTGTACGATTAATCAATATCTGCATACCATAAGTGGCACGGTGTGGGACCCTGTGGAACATCTGTAACGAGCATTTTAAAAAATATTTTGTATGTTTTCTGACAAAATCTTGAAAATTCAATCATCTTCATATTTGCCACCATTTTGTAGCTCATATTTTTACATTGCATAGCTACTCTGGGGATTAATTAGTACACTAGATTACATTGGTCACAAGAGGGCAGTATTAAACAAATGGGCAGTAAAATTGGCAGTTGTACAGCAAACTGGTACTGGTATTGGGTATTTATATTGCGCCTTTCCCTTGCGGTTATGAAGGAAAACAATGGTAGGCATAAAATCAGTCATTATTCAGGAACCTGAAGCATCACAGTAGTACAGTCACACAAACAACAAAGACAAATAAACAGATTACAACAATAAAAACACAAAAGGAAAAAGCAGCAAAAAGTGAATTAGGCAAACAAGTAAGTCTTGAGTGCACGTAATTTGAAAAATAATTTGATTATTAACTCGCAGCCAATGAAGTTCATTGATGAGAGGAGCAGAGTGTGTACGAGGATCACATGAAAAGACTAAGCAAGCAGCAGAGTTTTGCAATTTCTGCAGTCTATCAATGTATTTCTTGAAGAGACCACCATAGAGTGAGTTACAATAGTCAATTCGCGATAGTACGAGGGCTCTAACTGCTGCATGACAAGTATCTTGATTAACAAATCTTCGAATCCTCCACAAGTTACACTACTACATACCTTACTCACCTGAGAACTTAAATCCAGTGTGGAGTCAAATGTAAAACCCAAGTTACGAGCATTTTTAGAGGCCTTTATGAGAGATCCATTAACATTAAGTTGGATATTCCTAACTAATGGTGATGACTGTTGGTTTCCAGAAGTGCAGACCAGAAGCTCTGTTTTACCTTCATTTAGCTTTAGTTTATTTAATGTCATCCACTGTTGAATTTTAGTGATACGATTAGTTAGCCGAAAAACAGATTCATCAATACTAAAAGGATCTAAAGGATTAAATTTCAGGTATAATTGAAGATCATCAGCATAGAAATTTGAAAGTTAACATCATGCTTCCTGATTATATTACCTAGTGGGGTAAGGTATAATGTGAAAAAGCATGGTCCAACCACAGAACCTTGTGGAACACCAAAAGATGCCTGACCACCAGGAAGTGTAACACACATACTGTAGATCTGCCAACCAAATAGGATCTAATCCACTGCAATGCACTGCCAGTGATGCCATAAGGGCCATGTATATTGAAGCATTAATTTAGCACATCCTTAAATGGTTAACTCTGCATTAATGAATTATGGTAGTAGTACTGTAGTGTCATTCTTATTCTTATTCTTTTATTTCCAAAACAAGACAATCCACTGAGTGGTCGGTCAGGACTTTCAAAGTGGACCTAATCACTATTACATTAAGTATAAAGTCCTCAGCCACCCAGCTTCACAAAAAGACATACCCATAAAAATATATTACAATACAGTATAGGCCTATATAACTTTATTTATTTATTTTTTATTTTATTTATTTTTTTCTTCTTCCCTCCCCCCATTCTTTTTTTTTCTTTTTTTATAACATTTTATACAAAAATAAATTGATCTATAAATTTAAATTCAGGAACTCCATATAAGTATCTGTAAGATTTAATTTAAATACAATTTAATTAAATTTAATTTAATTTTTAAGTGAGCACAAAAATGAAAGAAAAGTAGTCTAAATAAGCATGTTTTTTAAAGTAGAGGGCAATTTTTCCCACAGTCGAGGAAACTGGTTGATAACAGAAAAATGGAGACAGTTAGTTCTAGCATAAAGATGCTTGAATCGTAGGGTCTCTAAATGACGCCCATTAATGGAAGTAAAAAGGCGAACACTCTACTACTCTACTCGAACAATCAATAAGACCAAAAAGACACTTGCAAACAAATGAAATAATTTAGAATTCTCTCCCTAAAGTTAACCACGAGGGAATGCCGTATTCGATAATTGGGAGAACCAGTGCTTTGTAGAGGGCAAAGATGGCAGCAGAAGGAGAACCTCCAGCGAAATTAGACTAATATGATCATTCCAGGTCTGTTTCGTTGAAGGTAACACCCAGGTAGCAATGATTATGGACGATTTGAAGAGGGGTATCAGATTTGCAATAAATAGGACGATAAGGGTTTTTGGAGCGAGTAATGTGCCAGATTTTAGTTTTTTTTACCATTGAGTTGCATCTCGTTTTGCGTGCAGTAGGATTGGAGCATAGTCTGAAAATTAATTTCATCATTAACAGAATAAATATTTGGGTACTCATGGATCCATGATAAACAACATGCTGAGTGCGCCCAATAAGGAAAGATTGAATCCACCGCCAAACATTGCCTCTTATATTAAAATTTTGTAGATATTTTTTTAAGGACAATGTGGTGTGGCAATTTGTCAAAGGCTTTATCGTAATCAAGGATAACGACATCAATTCTGGGGGATTTGGGTTTGTCAAGAATAGTCTACCAATTATGTGTTAAATTAAGTGACACAAGAATGAGAAGAAACAAAGCATGTTGGACATCGGTAATTGAGCAATTAAAATGCAAATGATTGGAAACAACAGAATTAATAATTTTTTCAAGCACCTTACAGAAAATTGGGGTTAAAGCATTGGGCCTATAATTGGAGATAAGGAACCTATCTCAAGATTTGAAAACGGGGGTTATATGAGATATCGTACAGGCATAAAACAATTGTGTTGGCATAGTAATAGCTTTTTCACTTGACACAAATACCAATACAATATAATATAAATATGTACAGTTTCTTTTAAATTGAGTGCCAAATCAAAATCACACTCTTTGTAAATTGACATTTTAACATTTTATGTCAAAGCTGTTTTTCCAGGTCTTAGCAGGTTTAGCCAGATTGCAGTTCGATGTTTGCTACTTTCCCACATCTTGCTGTTTTTAACACAACTATGAATTATCCTAGATACCAGATTTATTTTAGCCAAACTGGAGGAAAATTTTGGAAGGATCCATGCACACTTTTAATTACTGGTGTTCCTTGACAGATGAAGAAAAGCAAATAGCATAAAGACTAGAATAGAATGTAATATTCACATAGTATCTATCTTATAGAGGGCAGAATATTCACATAGTGGGGGGTTGGGTAGGGGCTCTCCTTTCACCCACTGTTGTATCGCCACTGAAATTATGGGTGCACTCCCTTTTTTGCTCTTACCTCTCTTTAACTCAAATTTGTCGCACTCGTTTTTATTGTTCGGCTTGACTGACGGTGGGGGGCCCCCAACAGGCCCTCATGGCGCCCCCCCCCCCTTCCCTGGTGGATCCACATGGTTCCCCCAGCTGGATCCACGTCTGCTGACACAATGGTTTCTGGCTGTCCAATCAATGCGTGATTTAACATGCTAATAAGGCACAACATAAGTTTTCAGTTCAACAAACTAACCAACACTCTGCACAAACCTCAACCCCACTGTCTTTGAGACTGTCTGTGCCTCTATCATCTCATACTAAGCAAGGTAGGACCCGAGTCTAACAAAACATGTTTGCATAATCAGTCGGTGTCCTTATATATGCAGTAATTAATAAATTATCAAAGTTTTCATCTGTGAAAATCAGCTATTGAAGATATTATCCACAACACTGATGTCTTAAATCTCTGATTCTGATTTCTTGGAGTTGGTAAGCCTCTCAGTTTTACACTTGATATTTGTAAAAGTTTACTTCTTTGTCTTTTTATTAAGGGGTAGGGGGGATAGTGCTAATAATTTTATTGCATGTTAATAACCCTTTCTGTAGGGCCTTATGTTCGGTTATGCCACTGATGAAACTGAAGAGCTTATGCCGTTGACAGTCGTGTTAGCTCATGGACTTACCAGGAAACTGGCAGAATTAAGGAGAAACGGAGAAATGGGATACCTTAGACCGGATTGCAAGAGCCAGGTACAGTATTAATATGGAACTTTCGTTCATTTTACCCAACATAATTATTATTCCAATTTGTTTATTAACCTCATTCAGTTAACAACTATTATTTGGACATTGAAGCAACAAACACCAAGAACATACTAGGCTGTTGTAAGAGTTTTTTGCCCATGTACCCAAATAATGTTACCCAAATAAAGCTGGTTTTTGGTCTAACAGTTCTTTTTGTAACCATATTTATAGGATATGCCTTCGAGCATATCCTAGAAAGTCGGCTGATATTCAGGGGCCCAGAAATAAAAAAAAAAAATGAAATTACATGATGCTTTTCTCAGCAAAGTCTCTATTTAGAGCTCTGTCTACACTATCAAATTTAATTTAAAAAAAAAAAAGCATCACATGGCATGGAACAATATCATCAAAACACATCAAACTGCCTCAAAAATTGATATATTTTGATAAAACTGAATTATCTAATCTGATTGGTTGGGGTAATTTGTAGTGTATGCTTATTGGTCAAAATGTGTTTTCTACAAAATTTTACAACTTTTTTACAGACGACATACAATACGATACAATATACTTTTATTCCCAACTAAAAACAGTTGAATTGCACATACATAAGAAATTTTAAAATATCAAAACTGAGACTAAACAGAATTACACAAAAGAGCAAAACAGAAGTTATTATCATAATTATTAGTTATAATTATTACTAAAGAAGTAATAATATTATGATTATTATACTAGTTATTGTAAAAGTTTAGAGAATTCAAAGAAGAGTGAACCGTTTCATCCATTGTTGGAACATTTTCTGAAAAGACCAGCTTAAAATTGTTTGACCGTTCTGTCTGAACTTCAGGAAGATGGAATTGTTGTGTGGACCTGAAGTTGTATTTATGGGTTGGGGCTGTTGGTAAGAGTGAGTGAAGTCCATGTGATTGGTCTTTTATTTTCTGGAAGTATTGTCTGCATAGTCGGGTGCGCCGGTCTGCCAACTTTGAGATATCGATGAGGGCCAGTGTCTATCATAGCTTGTATCAGGGACAATGATTTGAAGCGCTCTGCGCTGGATCTGTTCAAGCTTATTGGATTGACAATAAATAAGCCCTGTATCCCACACTGGCAGCATATTCTAGAACTGGTTGAATAATACTAATATAAAAATAAACAAGGGCACTCTGATTGAGGCCACACCGTCGCAACTGTTTATAAAGTATAGTCTGGAGTTAGCCGTAGACGTAATATCAACATGGGCTTGCCATGATAAATTTTTACTGATTGTTGAACCCAGGAGTTTTATTATATCAACATTCTCAATGGGATTGTTGTCAATAAAGATAGCATCAAATTCTTTTTGCAACTAAAAACAAAGAAAGTTTAACTTTTTGTGACAATTTGAAATTATGTGATATGATGTCATCGTGCCCATATATGGGCACATCACATTTTTTTTGTCACATAAAATTTGATAGTGTAGACCAGGGGTGGGCATAAAAATTGGTTGGAGGGCCAAAGTGAATTTTTGATTTAACACTGAGGGCTGAACCCACACTTTGATGTAAGTGTGCTCCCAAGAAAACCTTCATGCACTGCTTTTATACTTAATTCTCAGTTTTAACATTACGTTTTTACAGATGATCGGTGTCGGGCTGTAAAAAGTAAGGTATATTTTAGTCAAAAGTGTTTGCTGGGCCGCACATATAGGGTTTTTAATTCATTTTTGTGGGCTGCAAAAAAAAGTCACTGTTGGGCCGCAGGCCGCACTTTGCCCAACTGTGGTGTAGAGAGAGAGGAAGGTTTAGGGAGTTTTTGTTAGTCGTGAGACAAAGTCGTGCTGTAGCAGGAATTAAGCTTGGCACCCATTGATTAGAAGGCAAGCATCTTAACAACCAAGCTATTCAAGTCCACTCCTTTCATGGCTGATGGGACCTGTAATTTGTGGCGGCTTAAATTTCCCTTCCCTGATAATGCCACCACAGGCTTGAAAATATTTGTGGCAACACCGACGCAGTAGTGGTTGCAGTTTATTCTCTCAACCTTGAGGTTTGGGGCTCAAACCCTCACTGTGCATTTTGCTTTTTTTCTTAGTCACTATGTCAACATCTCCACAAATCTAATCCCTATTAGCTGATAGCTGCTACATTATATTAGTATGTTCTATAGGCATTTGCTCCATTGACTGGGAGAATCGAAAAAAATCATGTTTGGTGCAGCGCTTATTCGAGCATTTACGGTGTAGGTCTTCACAATATGAGTCTTTAACCATTATTATTATTATTACGGTTATGTTATGAATTTCCAATTGCTGTGGCGAAATCTTTTATAAGTTTTGAAAATGGTAATTTAATCTGAATAAAATTGTGTTTGTGTTGATCCAATAACAGGTGACTGTACAGTACAGGATGAATGATGGCTGCTGTGAACCTCTTCGAGTCCACACCATTGTCATCTCAACACAGCATAGTGCCAACGTAACACAAGAGCAGCTAAGGAAGGATCTACGGGAAAAAGTGATTGGAAGCACCATTCCTGGCAAGTACCTTGACGTGGACACTGTTTTTCATCTGAATCCATCAGGAAGCTTCATTGTAGGAGGTCCAAAGGTCAGTTAAGCTCTGTCTAGACTACGATATTTTCTTTGATAACTGTTGTATGCCCATATATGTTCATGATGTGCCTATATATGTGCAGCGCCAAGCCAAAGTTTTCCAATAAATGCACAAACGTGAAGTCAAGTCATTTAAAAAAATGTTTTTTTAAATCTCAAAACCATATATATTAAACATTTAACTTTCATCCTACATTTCCCTTTCTCTGATTTATAATCAATAAATGCCCTAAAAATGGTATTTATGAGAGCTTGTCCTGGCATGTAGTGTTTTCTGTATCTGAAATATGGCGTCAATCCAACCATGTTGGGTATGGTTAGAAAGGAAATTTAGTAATCTTTCATTTCATTTATTTATTTTACTGTTAACTAATAGATGACGATATTTCTCGTGCCCAATTTTCCTACGTCCTTGACGACAGTCAATAAAATAATCAATGTGATTGATTGGTCAATCTACTTTTCAAAATGCAGTGTGGGTAAGTGCGCATGCTCAGATTGTGATTTAAAGTGCAAACTTTTCAATACATGTTCAGCAAGTACACCATTCCAGGTGATGTATAACAACAAAGAAATTGCTAATATGGTACGGATTTATCGCGAGCGTTGGCAAGGAGACAAACGTATGCCGAGTTTGATGACTTCATTAATGATTTTTGACTTTGTGAAGAGTATAATGATGATAAAGAAGAAATATCGGATGGTGCCGATAATGAAGATGATGTTGATGAGATGAGGATAATGGCAATGCCGATGATAGTGCCGGCGGCACTGCTCCTCCTCTCTCCTGTACCTGTACGAACCAAGGGCCTATGCCTTTGCCCATCGGTGAAGACTTGCATTTATTGAAGCACTACGTGCTCAAATGGATCCACATTTGGAACAAACACACTAATGTAATAAATAAAGAATTGTGCCAAGTTTAAACCAATTCTGTTGCTAAGGATAGAATGGACAGGCACTTTCAAAGTGTGATTTTTCACAGTAAACTGACAAGTGATTTTCAAAGCCAATTTTCTCAAAATACACTTATCAAGTATCCTAACTTTGATTGCCCATAACTTCGCCATAAACTATCATATCAAAGTGATTTTTTTTTTTTGCATTTTGAAGATAATAATGTCTAATTTCATAATATGTACGAAACTCAATTTGAAAATTTCGGCTTATCCCTCCTTTTGCTTGGCTCTGCCACATATGGTCATGATGTGATGTCATTATGACCATACAGTAACATCTCCCAATTAGGAACCTCCATTTAACTTTACGAAAGATTGTTTTTAACTACAAAAACACTTAAAATTGTATTTAGAAGTCACCAATAAAGTGACATAAATATAAGTTTAAAGCAAGAAATATAAATCGTTTTCATCTGGGATATATAACATTTGAGCTGTGCATGCTTGTTCAGGCATAATGTACAGTAAATCTCACTTTCTGTTCATTGGGGGCGCTATTTGCATGGAAGCGAATAATAAGACTTGGTTTGGCCATTATTTTGTCATGTTTTCATTCGTAACTCACTTCATTCAAATGAATACTTTAGAGTGAGCACAGGTAATTTTGGCTTCTGTAAATTATTATTTTGTTGCAGAAGACAGTAAAATCCAAGTCTATTTTCGTGATGAAATTTTTGCTCCCATGGCATGGCTTAAGCCAACCCAGCCCAGTACTTATGCTATTAAAATCTATTAAAATTCAAACTCTCTGAATTACGAATTTCCTCCTTTACGAACTCTGGACAAAAGGGTATGTAATAGAGGGATTTGGCGATGATTGTTTACAGGTGGTCACGTGACCTAACTTGGGTATACATGGAAACTGTTCACATGAGAAGTAAATGGCTAAGAAAAGCAGTGGGGTCCTTCTGGTGGTGATTGGACAGTACACTAGGAGACAATCCCCTACTCTCTTCCGAAGAGTGTACTGAGTTCTTTAATGTGCACATGGGCCATAAATGCACACGGGACCAATGGCCTAAACGTCGCATCCCAAAGACTGTGCGCTATTGTAACTTGTATTTCAGCCCTCTACCTGAAACACAAGGAGAGGCAGCGATGGGAATTGAACCGGGGACCTAGATCTCCACGGTTCAGCGCACACACAGTGGCTGCCACCAGCTAAGCTACTCTCTAGCCACATACCCATAATGCATACCTAACCATGCCATAGATGTGCAGGGTCCTAGGCCTAACATTTGTCAAAAGATCTGAATGTTTGCGGCCAGTATTCTTTACAGCATTAACAAACCATTAGGCAAAATAATTAGGTTTAATTTCCAATCAGTTTGATATAGTTTACTGGATATTTACAGCAATAACAAGGGATGACCACCATAGCAATCTCCATGTAAAACATCACTGCCAGTCGTATGTTTATACGTGAACTGCAATTCATGCGAGGCAGGACGAAGTATAACAGCAGTATTGTACTAAAAGTGCAAGGCACCTTAAAACACGCTAAAACTCAGTAAAAGTGACAATATTTTAATATAGATTATATGGGCAACCGATGAGAGGATAGTTGAATTCTGAATAGACGAATTGTACCTGTCTCTTATACACATCTAGATGTGTATAAGAGACAGGATGATCGGTGTCGTTATCAATATTATTATTATTATTATTATTATTATTATTATTATTATTGTTGTTATTACTATCATTTTCCATTTTCATCATCATTACTACCATAATTCATCTTTTAAAAGTTTTGTTAAAAGCTCCGACACCTTGGTGAACGAATGAGGAAGAATAGCGGCATGTGCGCAATTAGAACCAAACTGGGTATAGTAGCGCACAATGTTAAACTGCCTCGTATTTATGAAGTTCATCCTATTTCTTATCACTGTGCGCAATTAGAACCAAACTGGTTAGAAAATTTAATGGCTTCTAATCCCTTTGGTCATTAGTAAGATGTTCAGAAATTCTTCTGAACTTTTTCTCAAATATTGCCCTTTGTCTCAAATATTGCCCTTATTTATATATATATATTTATTTATTTATATGTATAGTAAACACTATCATTTTTTTCTACAAATAGCCTGCTTATCGTCCCAAATACGAGGTTGACCTTTGACCTAATGCCACTGAGGTCATGTGTTTAATCAAATATGTGATTCGAATTCTTTGAGGTCATGTTTATATTTGTACCCAATAAATTTATATGCTCAATATGTAACGGTTAAGGAGAAAATTAGATGCAAAGTTTCCAAATGATGGCGATTTTTTTCACTCAATGCCTTTTTTGCATCTATTTGCTGCGAAGCAGCCAATTCATATTCTTCACAGCAATTTAACCTCTGAAAGGTCATTGTTTGTCAAAAAGCAAGGGCCTAAGACGACAGAAAAGCGGAGTTTCCTTCTTTCATTCTGCCGGGTAAAATCAATTACTGCAGGCGACGTTTGTAGACTAACCAACACGTACCACGTAACGTCCGCATGTCCCGATAGCCTTATCCTACTCTAGGCCAACACTAGCTAGGATGGTATAGGCCTAGCCTTGAAGGGACGAAGGTCCCAATGAAAAACGACGTCGCTCCTTGATAGCTAACATTGTCTATTAAAACATCACAATAATTCATTATTAGACCTATAGTTGTTTTTTGAATTGTACTCCACAAATCTCAGCCGATACCTCGCACAACTCGAGTAATGTCTCGTATCTATTGTCGATGTCGATTGTCGACACTTGAGATGTCTCGCACTTGTGATCAAATAACACGCTGGCTCGCACATTGGCAGCACTCTTTGGCAGTCAACTCGCCCCTAGAAAACCCGCCCTTGAAAACTTGCCCCATAAAAAAATGTACGCTTCCTAGACCATGCAGTCTTCAAAATAAAAATTGTAACCTTTGGTAATCAACTACATTTTCCACATACATAGAAATTTTTGAAATTTTATTAAAAAAACTTAAACCATAATTCACCACTATAGACAATTTTTGACAAAAATGAAAAATTACGACTTTTTTACGCAATGAGAAGTGTTCTAATATAGACAATGGGTCGTGTCTCATATTATTTGTTATATTTTTATTATTCATTATTTTCACTTGACTCGCATAAATAATTTTGTTCGAAGAACATTTAAATGCAGGGGCAGGGGCCTCCCTGAAGTTGGTGAAAACAAAGTTTACATTACCTGGCTAGAGCCTAGGCCCCAACTAGAATAAAAATAAAAAGGCAAAAATGAAAGTGGGTAGAGATAGGCTTGCCCTACTACACAATTATTTAAAAAAAACCCAAAAAACGCAAGAAATACCTTATCAATTTGCTTCTCGGTTTGGAACAACGATGTGCTATATCTTCTTGGGTTTTGTAGTGGCGGTGGTTCGTCAAACCCCAAATTATTTGACGGAACAGCATCAGGGCGTCTTCCTTCCCTTTCTCCCGTACAGCATAAATTAATTATCTGTGAAGTGAGCGCTGCAAATCCTTTGCTTCTTTATTCTGTGGTGGGTTTTTAAGTTTTAAAATTTGTAGCCATTTCCTTATCCTTTTGTTTTTCAGAGGCAGCCGATAAGTAACATTAGTATTTCTATTTGATTTATTATGGCATTTGCTTCTTTTTAACAAGATAAGAGCGATGCTATTTATAATGATACAGATAATGACATAGGCAATGAGTAAATTCCAATGTGGTGAGACAAACTTTCTCATTATGTTAATCATTCGCAGAAAGGTCACTCAGGTGGGGTCATTGAACTTTCGGAACCCCAAGCTACTGAAATTCTGTAATGCCTGTATTTACCTCAATATTGGAGCAAATTTTCGTTTTCGTATTTTCCGGCACGATTTTAGTATTATCTCTTGAAATTGATATACATAAACATATAACAAAGAGGAAATGTATGACTGGAGCTGCCTTTTAACCCACATAATTTTCAATGCACTGCAAAAGCTTCTAGATGAGTCATCTTTAACCCACCATCTTTATAATCGTTATATAATATGTTTCTCTTGATACAATCCTTTTTCCCCACTCCATGAAAAATTGGAAGACCGTTCTTTGTATTTGTTTGAAAAAAGGCTTGTGGAGGGTCAGACAAATTACTGAACTAATATACAAACTTAGAATTGAATTGAGAACTGTAACTTTCCCTTTTTAAAGAATGGATATAAGACAAGTTATCAACTGGAATTTGTATACCAAGATAAGTAATAACCTCATCTACCCATTCTAAACCCAAATGGCTACAAGTGTAGCTTGAAGATTCCCTAATCTGACAATTTTACTTTTATTTACATTAATCTTTTGTGTAGGTGGATAAAATATGAAGAAAGGTTACGTTCATTGGCTTTGAGATAAATAAGAGTATCGTCGGCATACTGGCTTAGTCGAATTTCATTTTTTATTGAATATTATTCCCTCAATTTGCTTACTCTGCCTTAACATAATCCCCAATATCTCGGCCCCAATCAAAACAAATACGGAGATAGAGGGCAGCCTCGCCTAACCCCTCTGTAAAGTGAGAAAACGGTGATGCGAATCCATTGTTAATGACACAGGTTTCAATATCCGTATACATTAGTTTAATGAATGATTTAAATATGTTACCAAAGCCAAATTTACTCAAACATGTCTAAAACATTCCACTTTACTGTATCGAAAGCTTTTTTGAAATCTATAGAAAAAAACAATACTTTTGATTAAATATATTTTAATCTAGAAGTAACCAAATATATTACCCTACTTTATATACCTTCCTTTTAGAAAGACTGTCTGATCCCCGTGTATAATGGAAGGAAGAACTTTTTGAAGTCTAATTGCTCATATCTTGTAATCAGTATTTAGTATTTAGGATGCCAATTTTTAAAAAGGCAAAAATTTTTAGGCAAAAGTGTTGTTATACCCCTTTTCATGGAAGGCCACAATTCTCCATTATTCAAACATGTATTAAATACCTTACAAATTAGCTCTTTCAGATCATCCCAGAATATTCTGTAAAAGTTAACAGGCAGGCCATCTTTACCTGGTGATTTATCGTATGCCATGGACATTATTACATCGTAACATTTTTTTTCTGAAATCGTGCCTTCACATAACATTGCTAAATCTTGATCGATTTGTGTAATCATTCAGCACCTTTTTTATATCACAATCTTTAACATCATTAGAAGTATAAAGAGTTTCATAAAAGTTCCTCTCTTCTAATCAATCCAAGTGGCTCTGGTACGAACCATAATTCCACAAACATTTTCTTCATGCATATGCTGTAAATTTGCTTCCTTGGAAGCAACTCTTACTTCAGATTACAGTCATAAGGATTAATTGACAAAATAGCTTGAATACGTTCAATATCTTTTGTTAAGGCATCATATTTAAGTTTTATTTTCTTTTTATGGGTAGAGGAAATCAAAATACACTTTTCTCTAATTTTAATTTAAAAACTTTAGAGTTGCCATATGAAACAGAAAAGCAATATACGACCAGTTTCGTCTCTGTGCACCGAGTGTACATTAATAACCTGAAGTAGGTTTCAAAAGAATGCAAACCCCAGCACTATTCAATTTTCCATGACAAAAATAGATTTTATAACCCCATTCATTTGCCCAAATTTGTTCACATTCTTTGGTGCTGTGCGTTTCTTGAAGGAAATACCTTATTAAATTGTGATTTTCCATTATCCAATCAAAAAAACACTTTCGTCTACAAGGCCCCTTACATTCAGTGAATACAGTTTCACCTTTATAGCTTCACCCATTAACGACTTTGAGTGTTTTGTATTTTGAATCCTAAATGTATAAATTGAATATTGATCTTTGAAGCAAATTTTACAATACAATCCTAAATGTATAGATCATTCTCAGACAATGCAAAATATGCAACCTGTCTGAGGCGGGCAAGTGATAATAGTGTTCCTGTTACCTATTATAATAATGCCATACAAAAACAATTCTACCTGGTTAAAACATTGATGTTCATAATAACGATTTTGGATTTACGTTTTAAATCTATCCAAGTAATAGTCTCCATCTCCTGAAAAAAAACCTCCCTACCTATATTTGGGTTCCATCGGATCAAGGGATCTCTGCCACCTTCTTTGTACTTTATGATCTCTAGTATCGCGGTGAATTCGTCTGAAACGATGATTCGCTTTCCTTTAATTTCGGGATTCTTCTGGGTCAACGTTTTCAACATGCGCTCTTGATCTTGGTAGCTTAGAAATTTTACATGGATAGCCCTCGGCCTTGCGTCACAGCTTAACGTCGTTCGTCTCATCGGGGTATGGTGCACTCGCTCAATTTCCATAGCTTGTGGGATTCCCATTGAGTTGCATAGAAACGTGTGAACTACCTCCGTGAAATCAACGTAATATCACATTGTTATTCGCCAGGTCCGTAATCTGCATCTTATATTTAGTCAGCTCCGAACAGGTAGCCTTGGATTCCAAGCTACTTTTCGTTTCCTCCATTTTAATTTCCAAATGACTCAACCCAGTCTCCATTTTCTAGCTCCTTTAATTTCACTTCTAGACCGTCTACACGCTCTCACAAATTGTCTCATTTTGTCTAGGACTGGCATTTTCAGTCAGATATCCTTCAGCATTTCCTGTTCACTCGGCATTCTCAACATAGCTGGCTTGGTTAATGCGCAGCCCGATCCGTATCGATCAATGTATGTACAAAAAACAACTCAATTTTTTCGTCTTTAAGCGGAATATCTCCTTTTTTGGTACGTCCCCTAAACATAATACTGAAAACATTCGAAAGTTCAAAATTCCTAGACAAAGGGGATGGAGAAAATTTGAAAATGAATCCAAAATATGAAGCAGTTCTTTTACTCCGACATGCACAAACGAAACAAATCGCGCCCTCCAATTTCCTTCTTTTTTATGTAGTGACTGTTATTTTCAATTAGGTATCAGTTTTTCACAATATATTTTTGGCCTGGCTGATTTATAGAATAATATGTTTAAATGATTATAGGGTGATGCTGGGTTGACTGGTCGCAAAATCATTGTAGATACCTATGGAGGTTGGGGAGCTCATGGTGGAGGAGCATTCTCCGGTAAAGACATGACAAAGGTAGATCGTTCAGCTGCATACGCTGCCCGATGGGTTGCCAAGTCTCTGGTGGCAGCAAAGGTGTGCAAGAGAGCTCTGGTGCAGGTGTGTATCAATTTATGTCATCACTAATATTTAAAATTACCATGTATGATTAAAGATTCCAGTGTAGTTCTGTGTCTATACAAAGTTAATGATGATGAATTAGCAGTAATTAGTAATTTATTGCTTATTATATGAATAATTATTCATTGTCAAATTTATTTAATTATATTCTATTTAAATTGAGTGGGTCGAGTGGAAAGCGGAAAGGCAGGGACGCCGCTAGCTACATCCTTAAATTGCCACTGGTTTGTTTCTCGCCGATTGTTTCAGTTGGTAGAACAAAGTCTTCTCATATAAGCACTTAAAACTGAAGGTCCAGTGCACACATCTGGCTTGTGTGCACTTCAAAGCACCCATTGCATCTAATATAAGAGTAGGGGTACCCCAAAGTTCTGGTTCATTTCTTTCCCTGTACTTGTCGAATGATGTGAACATGACATGAAGCTACTATAAGCACTTCTTTACGGCTGCTAGGCAGTCATGGACCACACCTATATGCAATTCAGCGCAATGGTGCTGTAAGTTAGATGTTACTTTCCTATCTTTACCTTTTATATTTAATATTACAGCTCGCTTACGCAATTGGAATTGCTAAGCCGTTGTCCGTCACAATATGGGACTATGGTACCTCTACCAGTACTCAAGCAGAGTTACTCAAGATCGTCAATGACAACTTTGACCTTCGACCTGGAATGATTATTAAGTAAGTACTCTTGCCATCTAATAAAAAAGCAATCTGCTTTCATATCCCAACTTATTTGTTGCTTTAGAAAAAAAATGTTCAATGTGCTTTCTTTAGGTTAATTTAAATAATTTTGTCTTAATTTATATTAACTGTATTGCTAATCCTTGCATGGATTAAAGACCATTTAAAAGACACAAAAATTCTTTTTGTGTCTTAAAAAAAATCAGTTGCACAACATATACAACATATCAAAATTTAGTTTTTCCTCCTGAGCCTGGTTAGTTGTAAATTTTTCATCGGTAAATTTGTGAGGAAATTGTTTTTCACTTGAAAGATATACAGTATATAGTAAGAAATTAAAATATTAAATTTTTTTCAATTTTAATATCCAAGACAAACAAGTAAGTTAACAAAGCAGAATGATAAAATGTTAAGGAATATTTTTGTCATTTATTCATAATCTATTTTTGCAGGGAACTCGATCTGAGAAAGCCAATCTATGAAAGTACTGCATCCTATGGTCATTTTGGACGGTCAGAATTTTCATGGGAAGTACCGAAGCAGTTGAAATTATAAGTTGGAATGAACTCCATAAAAATTTGAATAGTCAAGTAAATTGTGAAATAACATTGATGTATATTTTATCTTCTAATTTGGATTTGATAAATAACGTCAATACTTATCTATTTTTTATCGCTGTATCTTGGTTGGTCCACATTGTAAACAACTTCACCAGTAGCTGTTTTGCTTGCAAAAATGTCAATAATGTTTTTGAAATCTCATTATCCTATATTAGGTTTTATATATTTTTTTAATTATATTTTAAAAATATATAATGAATACTAACAATAAATTTTTTGTTGGAGGAAATAAAATAAATAATAAATGTGCTGAAATGTGGTATGTAATATCAATTCTATTTGACTTTGAATTTATAACACGTATATTCTAGATGAAACTAAATTTGAACCAATTTCTGACCAACTTTGCAAATAACCTTGGATGATTAATGGTTTTATTAGAAGAATTAGTATTGGAAGAATAAATGGGATAGACACACGTTATTTTTGTAAGACTTGATGTTGTTGGTATTTTGTCTGTAAAATAATTTCCTTAATTTTTTCTAGGGCTTTGTACTATTTGTTTATATTGCTGTACATAGTGTATTCACATATTGTATGCCATCAGATTCCCTTGTCAGAATTCACAAAGATAAGCAAAATCTCAGATTAAACTTGACAGCCATATGGCTTGTGTGGTATTAACCATGTTTGAATAATAAAACATGGTGATAAACAACATTCATAAAGACAACATGTATAAAATAAGGGTAGTTTGGAAACACGATACACAGAGCGTAAAACATAGTAACATTGAATGCACTTGGTGCAGTGCCGACTGAGCCTGTACCGCCCATTAATGTAATAAAAAATTTACAACTAATGTAATATTAACCACGAATATAATAGAAATTAACCACTGATGTATTAAGACATAAACCACTAATAGGCCTATAATAATTTAATTGTTAATTTCAAAACCTGGACAATTTGTAACAGTACATACAGAATTGACTGGTGGCTTTTGCATCAGGTGGTTTTGCCCTACCTGATGTGTTGAGCGTGAGCTGATTTTAAGGGGCCCTCGACAATACAAACGAAGAATGAAATATAAAAGTAAAAAAATAATAATCAACAATTTTTAAAAAGATTTTTAAAGCCAAAGTATAAAATGCAAAGGGATAAAATATTAAAGTGTACTATTATTAATAATATATCTCTTTAGTTTAGTTTTAAAATTAGAAAAGGTACTAGAGTTTCTTAAGGAAACATCAAGCGAGTTAAAATATTTGTCCTTTTAATTAAATGAATGTTTAAAATGTTGAATGGTAGGGGTTGTGTAATGAACTTGGAGAATAGTACGAAGGGCTCTGTTTTGCAGCTTTTGAATTTTAGAAATGTGGCTAGGTCTTGAACCCCACACAGTAATGCAATAATCGACATGAGATAAGAAAAGAGAGTTGTAAGAAGAAGAGCGGTTTAAAAGTTAAGAAAGTATCTGGTTCGCGAAAGGAGAAAGATAAGTCATTTACAAAGGTGTTCCAACCACATCTCCCACCTTGATTGTTGTCAATTTGAACACCAAGATGCTTAATACAAGTGACGTTTTCGATAGCCAGATGATTGATAGTAAGTTTTTTAGCAGGACTACGTCTGAGTTTTTGAGAAGTTCCAATTAGCATAGATTTAGTTTTTTTAATATTTAGATGTAGTTTGCAGAAAGCTAAGAGAAGAGATGATTGAGATTGTTACCGTAATGGCCCTGTCACACCCTGACGATTTAGTCAGCGTATGCCAAACGTATCAACATTTCTCTAAAACGCTGGCATACGCTGAACTATCGATACTTTTTAAGTTCCTTTGTGACCTTAAGGTCACAAGGAACTAATGGGATAATTCGAACATGAAATGTATGTGTGTGTGTGTGTGTGTGTGTGTGAGCAGCGGGTTTGTAAACGAATAGGCTCCTAAACTGTGCCTCACGGTGGGTATAATGTTTTCCTCATAGTAACTGGTGGACATGTAGTTGTGCAAGAATTGTTTGTTTTTTATGTTAGATGAGAAATGTAGGACGTACGCGATAAAACATATACCCCCTACCACCATTTTTGAGTCGTTTTTAGGAGAAAATTTCGATATGCGCATGCGTCGGAAAAACTTTGCCGACATTTTGTTTTTCATCGCGAGTGGGTAAGCGAGCTCCATAATGCATACCTTGTTGGTGTAGTTGACCAATTGTTTACGGGATCGTCGGTAGGGTTAGGCATCTGTCGTGTTAATGTAGCAGGTGCACGTGTTATTAAAAATGAAAGAAGTGATCTAACCAAATACGGTCTTTACATAATGGTATTGGATCGAACGTGTTTAATATTTTGCGGAAATTTTGTTTTCTATCGCGAGATTATACAGTTTACACTAGAGAAGTTGTCTGTGTTGTTTATGCGAACGTCTAGGCCCTAGCGTGAACTTAGGTTGTAAGTCGACTACTGCTTGTCGTCTAGTAGGTGTAACGTGTGTTTTAGTAAAAATTAACGTGATCTGAACAATATTTAACATTATAGTATTGAATCGAATGTGCTTACCTACCTAAAGTCTTTTACACACGATGAACACGGCAATTGACGTTGCTGTTGGTGTGCAATACACTATAACAACTCCCTGGCAATACGTACAAAACACGACGACGACAGCAGCATTCAGTTAGTCTGGTTAACATAAATAATATATTGGTCTACCACAAGACTACCATACAGATCAATAAACAATAATCCGCGACAAAATAAAAATCAAGTGTATTTGTAACGATTGAATATGTAGCATAAATGCATTCATATAAACACAACTTACTATTTTGACCAGACTGACCTCCATTACTAGAGTTAGACCCTAGAGGTCTGTGGCTTGATAAACCACAGAGCAAAAGTTGACAGTTTTGGCGGCATTAGTTTGATAGACTATTTACAGTCGTTGAAATGAAATTCCTCTAGGCCTATATATAAAAAAAACGAAAAGAAAGTGGTGCAGAAAAAAACTAATTGTGCACAGTTACTGTACTTCAAACACAGAAAAACGTACGTGTCGTCAGTATTATGAAGTTTTTGTTTACGACTGCATAAGAGACAGGGATTATGAAGTTTTTTGTTTACGACTGCTGTGTAATTTTACTGGTTTACAACATAGTCATGTCATGTATACTTGAATATGTAAAATAAATGAGTATTCCGTATTCTTAATTTGTTATCTCAAATTGACGTCCCGATTTCCGATGTCAAAAACACCAAAAAATAGGTAGGCCTACGTCCCTATTTTTAGAATTAAAAAAAAAATAATTGCAAGAAGTATCCACTACTTGCCTGTGTGATGAAGGGAATATTAGTCTGTGGTTCCCCGGGTATATCCCATCCCCATGAACGCGAAACTGTCCCGATTTCGGGGGGTGGGGGAGAGAGTGGAATTATAC